GGTGACCCAGTGGTCAGTGAGGGTGACCGTTAACCCAGTGGTCAATGAGGGTGACCGGTGACCCAGTGGTCAGTGAGGGTGACCGATGACCCAGTGGTCAGTGAGGGTGACCGGTGACCCAGTGGTCAGTGAGGGTGACCGGTGACCCAGTGGTCAGTGAGGGTGACCGTTAACCCAGCGGTCAGTGAGGGTGACCGTTAACCCAGCGGTCAGTGAGGGTGACCATTAACCCAGTGGTCAGTGAGGGTGACCGGTGACCCAGCGGTCAGTGAGGGTGACCGGTGACCCAGCGGTCAGTGAGGGTGACCGTTAACCCAGTGGTCAGTGAGGGTGACCGTTAACCCAGCGGTCAGTGAGGGTGACCGTTAACCCAGCGGTCAGTGAGGGTGACCGTTAACCCAGCGGTCAGTGAGGGTGACCGTTAACCCAGCGGTCAGTGAGGGTGACCATTAACCCAGTTGTCAGTGAGGGTGACCATTAACCCAGTGGTCAGTGAGGGTGACCGATGACCCAGTGGTCAGTGAGGGTGACCGTTAACCCACTGGTCAGTGAGGGTGACCGTTAACCCAGTGGTCAGTGAGGGTGACCGTTAACCCAGTGGTCAGTGAGGGTGACCGTTAACCCAGTGGTCAGTGAGGGTGACCGTTAACCCAGTGGTCAGTGAGGGTGACCGGTGACCCAGCGGTCAGTGAGGGTGACTGGTGACCCAGCGGTCAGTCGCCACCTTATAGCTCTCTATCACTACCGCTGCCCGTGGTTGCTGTTCCCGTGAACTTCACTCGTTATTTCTCGCACCCATCATGCTAAAGACTCGGTCCGCCAAACTGACTCCTCGGTCAAAACAAAACACGTCTACACTCAGCCAGCTCCCTCATAGCATGGACGAGTGTGCACACACTCCTCCTTTCGGCACGCACCTCACCATGTACACTTTTCATCTTAACATAAAGAAAAATCGCGACGTCGCTTTTACCCGATTAGAAGCGCCGCCCCCATCCGCGTCCCCTCCGCCGGGAAGGAAACCGTGCGTGATAAACTCCACCACCTTTGAGTTCTTGAAGGTGTCGCCCAAGAAGCCAATGATCTGCTGGAAGCCCACCATGGCTCTGTCGAGGGCCTCGATCTTCTTGCTCTGAGACTCGGCGCTCGAGACGAGTTTCTCCACCGCGCCGATCATCTGCTCTTGAAACTTCTTCGTCTCCCTGGCGGCGTCCTGGGCGACGTCGGGCGTGGGCAATTTAATTTCCTCCTTGTCCACCTTGAGCCCCTCCACCTCCCGCTCGAGGTCGCTCAGGTCGCGGGCGACCTCCTCCAGCTTGAGCAGCACCTTGTCCTGGCCGCTCACGAGCTTGTCCACGCGGCGACAGAGGCCCTCCAGCTTCACGTTCACCGTGTCGATGTTCTCCACAGAGTTCTGGCGGCTCATGGAGAAGACCTTGCGAGGGCCGTTCCCAACGGGCGTCGGCCGCGCGAGTTGCGCGTTCACCTCGAACACCCGCGCCAGGGAGTTCACCAGGCTGTCCCTGCGCGCCATGCCGCCTGCCGGTTGGACTTCTTTCGCACGGTACGCAGCCAAAAGTGATAGTCGGAGGTTCGGGTGGTGGGGGGAGGTCAATAAAACTCAACGCAAATAGGCAGTTCTACATTAAAATAACTTTGATTGTTATAATTATTACCTTGCAGTTATTAAACGGATACCGCTGATGGAACCCCTCGAGACGCTGGGGCTATCCTTGCCGCGCGAATTGCACCGCGCCAACTCCCGGCAGCCGGGCGAGGCGCGAGGCGGCTGAGCGGAGCTGCGGAAAGTCGCGCGGCTCGGAGCCCAGCGGAGCCCAGCGGAGCCGCGGGCGTCTCTGCTCCTCTCAGGGCGTCGGGCGCAACGGGCGGTCGTGACACCGCGGAGAGGGGGGGAGGCAGAGGGAGTCCGGTGCCGCCGTCCTTGGCCAGTGGACAAATTTAGACGCCGGGAGGCATCTTAATGCCGCCGTGCCCGCGTCCCCGAGAGCCGCGTCACGGGAAGTGGCATCGGAACAATGCGAGAATGTTTGTGCCAGCAGCCACTCAACGTCACGCCGCACTTAGCCGCGCCGCGGCACTACGAGCCCCCCCCCTCGCCCACCCCGCCCACTCTCCTCCCCACCCATCCACCCGCTCGCCCACTCGTCCATCCACCCACACATTCGCCCGATCACCCACTCGCTCGTCCATTCACTGCGCTCACCCATTCACTCACTCGCTCGCTCACCCATCCACCTACCTGCCTACCTACGCACCTATTCGTATGCATGTATGTTGAACTTCTTTCGCACCGTACGTTGCCAACCGTGCTAATTGGAGGTGCGATATTCACCCCACTGACCGACCCACCTGCTCACCCATCCACAAACCCACCAACTCACCTATCCACCCATCTGCTCACCCACCCACCATACTCACCTATCTTTTTGGTATGCTACAATGCATGAAAACTCATATGCGTCGTCACGAAGCATCATCAGTAACCATTAAAATATATGATGACAACCACCACCATAACCACCCCCCCCCCCCCACTGCCATCCTGTCGTGCCACAGTGACAAGCGAGACGATGGGAGGAACGAACCGCTGGCGTAGCTCGGCATGGACCCTTCGTATAGACGGCGGTGGTGACGCAGGTGAAAGTGTACACTGGGCTGGTGGTGCCACACGTCAGCCATAGACGATCTACTGCTCGATGAAGTCCTTCCCAAGTCGCCGCCACAGCTCACCGTCACGTGGTGAGACCAATCCGCCTCGTCCCACCGCTCCCTCCCTGCGGTAGTCGCCCTCTCGACTTCGTGCCACCTTTCCCTGCCACTGGTGTGCCACTGCCCTCCCTCTCGTGCCACCTTTCCCTGCCACCGGTGTGCCACTGCCCTCCCTCTCGTGCCACCTTTCCCTGCCACCGGTGTGCCACTGCCCTCCCTCTCGTGCCACATTTCCCTGCCACTGGTGTGCCACTGCCCTCTCTCTCGTGCCACCTTTCCCTGCCACCGGTGTGCCACTGCCCTCCCTCTCGTGCCACCTTTCCCTGCCACTGGTGTGCCACTGCCCTCTCTCTCGTGCCACCTTTCCCTGCCACTGGTGTGCCACTGCCCTCCCTCTCGTGCCACCTTTCCCTGCCACCGGTGTGCCACTGCCCTCCCTCTCGTGCCACCTTTCCCTGCCACTGGTGTGCCACTGCCCTCTCTCTCGTGCCACCTTTCCCTGCCACTGGTGTGCCACTGCCCTCCCTCTCGTGCCACCTTTCCCTGCCACCGGTGTGCCACTGCCCTCCCTCTCGTGCCACCTTTCCCTGCCACTGGTGTGCCACTGCCCTCCCTCTCGTGCCACCTTTCCCTGCCACTGGTGTGCCACTGCCCTCCCTCTCGTGCCACCTTTCCCTGCCACCGGTGTGCCACTGCCCTCCCTCTCGTGCCACCTTTCCCTGCCACTGGTGTGCCACAGTGGCCTCTCGAGCTCTCGCCTGGCGAAGCCATGACACCCGGCGCCCAGTAGCCAAGCGTGCTGCCCAAGCCCGCAGCGGTTCGTAAGAAGTTTCAAACTCGCGCGGGCCCTCCGACTCCCAAGGAAGTCATCGTGGAGTTGTTTACAGGAGAAGCGCCTTAGCTGGCACGCACGGCAACGCGTGGCATTGACGCGGCTGTCACTTCTCTACAAGACGACGGCGTGGGAGACGCTCATCCAGACGTGGATAGACCATGGCTGCTGCTGATGAAGATGATCCTACTGCTCCTGCTGCTGCTGATGGTTATTCTGCCCACGTGACAATACGAATAATCGATTCGCCTTCTTCCCACACCCATCTCTCTGCAACGGGCGGTATCTTTTGGGTTCTGCCTTCCGGCGGTGGGTGCCACAGGTCCCTCGTGGACTTCAATTCGCGGGTTCCGAAACCAAACCGCAGAGGGTCTCACGGGCGACGACAGCGGGAGGAGGTCGCAGAGCGCCGCCTCTGGCGCTTCGCGAGCGCGTGGAGTCGCACGGCGCTCTCAGTCCCCTCTTGCTCCCCGGGGGTTTGTTTTCACGGGGTCCCCTTACAGGGGCCCAGCCTCACGCGGTCACTCCGTGTACCTCGGGAGATTCCGTCGGCACATTTTCACCGGCGCTGGCGAAATTGGAGAGGTGAAACTTTTCATTTGCGCATTCCGGACACATTTACACGCGCCTTGGCAACAGCCGTCGTCTTTCCGTGCGTTTTACAACTTCGCAACTCGAGCCCGCGGGGGGGGGGGGGGGCTGTGACGGTGCCTCGCCAGCGCTCACGTTGAGATGTGGGGGGGAGTCTGGCCAGGAAGGGGTAAAGTTGCGTTTTTGTGTAAAACACAAACAGCTGAAATTCTCACTCACCCACTCACCCATGCACTCACCCACTCCCTCCCTCGGGATACTGCAGGTCACTCGACACGTCTCGTTGTGCTCCACGTTGCGATCGTCTCTCGCTCTCAAGCTCGCGCAGCAATCAATCGTCTCGCGCTCACGACTCGCGTCAATTGTCAGCACGGGGCCTGCGCTCGGGGACTGGCGTCATCGCACGGCCACGGCCCCACCCACCCCCACCCCCATCCCCGACTCACCTCGACGCACACAGCCACACCCACCCCCATCCCCGACTCACCTCGACGCACGCTCCACACCCACCCCCATCCCCGACTCACCTCGACGCACGCTCCACACCCACCCCCATCCCCGACTCACCTCGACGCACGCTCCACACCCACCCCCATCCCCGACTCACCTCGACGCACGCTCCACACCCACCCCCATCCCCGACTCACCTCGACGCACGCTCCACACCCACCCCCATCCCCGACTCACCTCGACGCACGCTCCACACCCACCCCCATCCCCGACTCACCTCGACGCACGCTCCACACCCACCCCCATCCCCGACTCACCTCGACGCACGCTCCACACCCACCCCCATCCCCGACTCACCTCGACGCACGCTCCACACCCACCCCCATCCCCGACTCACCTCGACGCACGCGTGCGCGGTGGCCCCGTGTCCGCGGCCCCCCGCGGAACGTCGAGTCCCGGGTTCCCGACCCCCCCGCAGACCGCGCTGTTGCCCCCAGCGCCAGCGGGCGGCCCCCAGCGCCACGACACAGCCAGCTGCCAACAACCACCACCACCACCATCCTGCTGCTGCTGCTCCCAGCGGCTCGAGCTGCGGCATCGCGAGGAGCCCCGCCCGGCGACAGCAGCGCGGCCTCCGTGCGCGCCGAGACGACGCGGGCAGCGGCGGTGGTGGTGCCAGCAGGTGGTGGTGGGTGGTAGTGGGAGGTAATTGTGGTGTAGAGTGGTGCTGGGAACTGGGTGGTGGTGTTTGGTGGTGCTGGGTGATAGTGGTGAGTGGTGCTGGGTGGTGCAGTGGCGGCGACGTGGTTTGGGTGGTGGTCGTAGACTTGGGGTCGTGGATGATGGGTTGTAGGAGATGGTGATAGTCGGGTTGGGTGATGGTGGTGATGGTCAGTTTAAACGTCGTGGATGGTGGTGGACTTGACAGGCGGGTAAATTGGGAGGCAGGGGTGCTGATGATGATGTTAACGATGATGGTCAAATAGTGGATGGGGTGATAATAGTCGTGATTGATAAGTGGGAGAGTGGTTGCGATGACTGGATGGTAATAAGTTACAACAGTAACAGTAGTGATGGTGGTAAGTGTAGTGATGTTAATAAACGGTGGTGATGGTGCTGGTCGTGATTTTGGCTATCCACGTGATGGTGGTCGTCACTGTTGACGATGGTGATGGCGATGATTGCGTAATGGCTACGCCTGGAATCAACTCCAAGTGGAGGAGATGCGGGATGATTGAGTTACGCGTGTTGGTGTTGTGTGTGTGTAAGTTTTCTGTGCGGTGTGTGGCTGTTGCGGAAGACGAATCGCGCAGCCTGTAGCTATGCGAATGATGGTGATGGTGCTGGGGAGTGATGGGTGTAGCGAGAGGTGATGGTGCTGGGTAGTGATGGGTGTAGCGAGAGAGGTGATGGTGCTGTGGAGTGATGGGTGTAGCGAGAGAGGTGATGGTGCTGGGTAGTGATGGGTGTAGCGAGAGAGGTGATGGGGAGTGATGGGTGTAGCGAGAGAGGTGATGGTGCTGTGGAGTGGTGGGTGTAGCGAGAGAGGTGATGGTGCTGTGGAGTGATGGGTGTAGCGAGAGAGGTGATGGTGCTGTGGAGTGATGGGTGTAGCGAGAGAGGTGATGGGTAGTGATGGGTGTAGCGAGAGAGGTGATGGTGCTGGGGAGTGATGGGTGTAGCGAGAGAGGTGATGGTGCTGGGGAGTGATGGGTGTAGCGAGAGAGGTGATGGGTAGTGATGGGTGTAGCGAGAGAGGTGATGGGTAGTGATGGGTGTAGCGAGAGAGGTGATGGTGCTGGGGAGTGATAGGTGTAGCGAGAGAGGTGATGGTGCTGGGTAGTGATGGGTGTAGCGAGAGAGGCGATGGGTAGTGATGGGTGTAGCGAGAGAGGTGATTGACGCAGGGAGAGAGGGGGGAGATTGCAGGGGTCAGCCAGCTCCCCGGGCTGGTGCTGGGGCAACATGAGCGGGACAAGAAGGGGGTTGGGGCTGGGATGCTCGAGGGGGGCTGTGATTGGGCCACGAGGCTCGGGCTGAATTAGGAAAGGCGCGTGGCCGACAGGGAACAGGTGGGGCCCCGTGCGTCACAGCCCCCCACTATCCCCCCTCCCGGCCTCTCTTGGTCCAGGGAACCCGAGAGAGTCCTTGGGCCAGCACTAACAGATTCACACGAGCATCAACATCAACAGAATTTCCACTCCTGCGATCGAGCAGCCATCGTCCATCCAAGAGAGCCACGCGGGACAGTCTGTAGAGTGCTTTTCAGGAGGGTCCTGCTATAGCATTGGAATGTCACGTACACTCACATGTGTAGACACACACTCACATGTGTAGACACACACTCACATGTGTAGACACACTCTCACATGTGTAGACACACTCTCACTTGTGTACACAGATCCGCCGTGTAGCCTTTATCAGACTGTTGGGCAAAGTGCTGTTAGCGACTTAAAACTTTCGTGATTGCAGGAATTCATATTCTTCGTTCTTTCGGTAAAGTCACGTAGATAGAAAATTAAATAAGAAAAAATTAAAAATAAAAGCGAAAAACCCACGACGTTTGTGTTGCGATCGAAACGTCGTGGGGTTTTCGATATTATTTTAAGTTTATTTTCTATCTACGTGACTTTACCAAAATAACCAAGGTTATGCTGTTAGCGAGTAGTACACCGATGAAAGCCAGCATGGCACACAAGGGGGTGAGTGACCAGCTGCCTTTGTCTCCCGAGTTCTGATGCTTACTACACACCAAGGCACCAGGTACTCGTTTTGAGGAGCAGTCGACCTCGGGGAGGCCCAGGACTGGGTCCAAGAGTCGTCACTGCTATTGGTCGTGAACGGGAATCCAACTCGGGTCGCCATGCAGTGCAACGACCACTACACTACGGCTCCACACGCATCACACACACATCCAGCAAGCCTCACACACATGTGAAGTGTTCTTGAAGACGCGTGGACAACGGGGTAAGGCACACGTATTTATTTGCACAATGTCTTACAATACTGGAGGGATGTATCGGCCCCCTCACCCGTACAACTGGGAATTCACCCCTAGCTAGCCTTCCTAGCCGAGTCCTCCGCTAACGGGCTAGGGGAGGCTGTCTGGCCCGACACTGGTCAGTCGGGCTACGGTACCCGGAATCCCAGAGGTCTGACTCTGGTTCCGGGACCACGCCACTGGCTCCAGCCTGTACTGCCCTTACAAGGGCGGCGTCCCAGGGGGAGTCCAGGGCCTATCTGGCCGGTCTTCTCTCTTCCCTTAACTACACTAAGACTGAGCCCCGAGCTCCCTGGCTCAACCCTTTTTATACCCCCCTAGAGGATCGAAACCCCCCTCACGCCGTCCAGTACGGACGTCGTTGCGGGCACCACCCCGTGTGCTCACGGAGTCCCCGCCCACTGTGTTTGTTATCCGTTAGCCCCTATGCAAACAGCCCTACACAAACAGCCCCTCTGTAACAGCCCTACATCACCCCCCCCTGTACAGCTCGCAGCCGTCCCGGCTGCAACAACTTTAATAAAGGCTATTTAACCCCTGGATACCCGCGTGTGCCTTAAAAAAACGTTTTTAACGCTAACATGAAGGAACCAACAGCAACAACGACAACAACAACAACAATGACAACAACAAAACCCACAACCCCGAAGGGAACAATCCGACGCACCCCCCCTGAATAAATACGAATACCGTAAGAGCGACGCATATATACAGGTTAAGCAGGGAACTCGCAGCACACATGCAACACAACACAAAAAAAATGTGTTAGGAGCTCCCCACCGACGCAGCACCACGCAACCGTACGTAAGAGAGAAGAAGAAAAAAATGTTCGTCCAATGCATTATAAGAGTCTGCGCATTTTTGCGCGTGTCCTTGCTGCAGGCCCGTCACACGGGGCAATCCCGGGTGGCGAACCCGCCGGTGGCGGTTGTTCGTTTTGTATAGAGTCCGCGTCTGACGTCGCGGGAACCTCGGCGTCCCTTGCAGCAGCAGGTGGGTGCGGGCTCGTCAGTCCCGATGCACCTGGAGGTGGCACGGCCGGCAAGGCATTAGGTGAGCGCGGTGGAGACGGAGCTAGTGAGTCGGTCGACCCCCCACACGTCTGGCCACGCATGTGTGAAGTGGGTTTGTGTACCGCGACGAAAGGTTTCAACCGAGAGGGGTGCACGAACCATCGCCGCTTCCCCCAACGAATGCGCACGCACTGTGGTCGCAAGACCTCGACCACTTCCACGGGGCCCCGCCACGGCCGCGCCAGCTTAGGGGAGGTGGCCAGGGGTACTTGGGGACAGTGCAACCATGCCCTGTCCCCCGGTTTCCACTGTATTACATGCGCCCGACCCAGCCTGAGGCGCTCGTTCGCCTTTTGACGGAGGTCCGAGTTCAACCTCGCAGCATCCCGCGCCTCTGTTAATTTAGCCAGATTAAATTTGACGTGGTCAGCCAATTTAGTTTTTCCTTGCGGGTCGGGGATCTGCAGCTGGGCGCGAACAGGCGGGTCGGGTTCGCGACCGTACATAAGGTAAAAGGGGGAAAATCCCGTAGCTGCATGGGGTGCCATCCGGTATGCCGCCAAGACCCCCTGAATATGCAGGTCCCAATCAGTCTGAGAATCTGAGACCTGCTGTGCCATCATTGACGAAATGGTGCGATGCAGGCGCTCGACCATTCCGTCTGTCTGTGGGTGATACGGGGAGGTCCGAATTTTCTTTGTGCCTAAGAGGTCACAAACTTGTTTAAGTAATTTGCTTGAAAAATTTTTACCCTGGTCGGTCAGCAGCCGTTCCGGAGCACCTTTGTCCAGGACGTATCCCTGAACAAAGGCGTCCACAATGGCTGCTGCCGACTGGTTGGCAAGGGGCCAGGCCATGGGCCAGCGCGTAAAATACTCGACTCCTGTCAGCAAATACCTATTGCCCCTGGGGGTGGCGGGAAATGGGCCCAAGATGTCCAGCGCGACAAGCTCATTTATTCTGGACACCTTGATTGATTGTAAAGGCGGGTTAGACTCCCGTGGCGGCGGTTTCCGTTGCGCACACCGCGGGCATGAATTCAAAAGATCCCCAACATCCTTTGTCATACCAGGCCAAAAAAAATCTAGTTGTATCAGTGCAAGGGTCTTTAGAGTCCCCAGATGTAACAGGCGCTCATGCGCGGCCCACACCACTTTGCCTCGCAACTCCGAAGGGACGACCAGCCGATGTCGCTGTAATTTTGCGTCCCAATGCATGAGCAGACCCTGTACCATTTCCCATGCACCCGAATCACCTTTCACCCGGCCAGCACCCCCGACGCGACGACGCCACCCGAGGAGGGAGGTATCCTCCATTTGGAGGCGCCCCCACTCAGTGACGGGCAACCCCAACAGGGAATCCCTTCCCTGTTGTTTGATCGAATTATCAGGCAGTGGTTCGTCGTCGTCGGTGGCTGCCAGGATCGGAACCGATGCATCCCCTGAAGGTCTGCAACGTCCCGACCCCAGGAGGCATGCACATTCCGAGGTGGTTGGCATGCGTGACAGAGCGTCCGCGTTGGTATGGCGAACGCCCTTACGGTAAGTGGTCTCAAAATCAAAATCCTGGAGAACCTCCAACCATCGAGACAACTGTCCCGATGGTTGTTGAACCCGCAGGGCATACTGTAGTGCCGCATGATCTGTGCGGACGGTGAAATGCCGACCGTACAGATATGGGCGATACTGTTGGATGAAAAAAACAATTGCCAACAGTTCTCTACGGGTGACACAATATCTCTGCTCCGCAGGAGACAACACCCGACTACCGTATGCGACCACCCGTTCAACGCCATCAACCACCTGGGAAAGCACACCCCCAATACCCGTGTTGCTCGCATCGGTGTCGAGCAAAAAGGGCTTCGAAAAATCAGGGTAGATCAAGGGAGGGGCTTTCACCAGGGCGTCCCGAAGGGAGCGGAACGCAGCCTCCTCCTCTTGACCCCAGTGGAACCGAACCCCTTTAGATGTTAAAGCGTGCAGGGGTTTAGCAATTGTCGCAAAATCAGCAACAAACCGTCGATAATACGACGCGAACCCAATGAAACTCCTGACCTCTCCCACCGAGGTGGGAGTCGGCCAGGAGCTGACACACTGCGTTTTGGCGGGATCGGTAGCAATACCTGAGCGTCCCACGATGTGCCCCAAATAACGCACCGAATCACGCAACAAATGGCATTTTTGGGGCTTGAATTTCAAATTAGCAGCCCGCATCTTTAGGAAAACCGCCCGCAACCTCTGGAGATGTTCATCAAAGGTTTTTCCAAAGACGATAACGTCATCCAAATAAATGAGGCACGACTCCCATTGCAGTCCAGCCAAAACCAATTCCATTAAACGCTGGAAAGTTGCCGGCGCTGAGTGTAAGCCCATCGGCAACCGGTTGAATTGAAACAAGCCGTGCGGTGTACGAAAAGCAGTTTTAGGCTTTGACTCATCATCCAGAGGAAGCTGCCAGAATCCCGAAAGTAAATCGAGTGTGGAAAAGAATCGCGCTCCCGCCAAGGCGTCAAGCGATTCATCCATCCGAGGGAGCGGGTATGCGTCGGCAACCGAAATTTTATTAAGACGCCGGAAGTCAACGCAAAACCGCAACGAACCGTCCTGCTTTTTAACCAGGACGATCGGCGCTCCCCAAGGGCTGGTGGAAGGAGAAATGATGTCCGCGGCCAACATGTCATCAACAGCCGATTTGACATGGTCCTTTTCGGCGGGACTCAACCGAAACGGATTTTGGCGAATAGGCGCGCTGTCACCCGTGTCAATATGGTGACGCAGCAAGTGAGTGCAACCCAAATCATATTTATTTCGACTAAAAACGTCGGAAAATTCTCGCAGTAATGTTTTAAGTTGTTGACGCTCTGAATCGGACAGGTCCGTCGATCCCGCACAAAGCGCCTCGAGCCACCCTTCATCGCTGTCCGAATGCGGTCGCGACGCAGGGACAGTGTTGACGCAATTTACGGCGGGTTCCTCACACGGCACCGGCGTTGCGTGAGCAAGCACGGTCCCCTGTGGGATCACCACCGTCCGCGAGCCCACATTTAGGACCGCGATGAAGGGTTCACCATCCCCTCTCACTATGGTCTGGGCCGGTAGTAAGTCAGGTCCACTAACCCCGGCCCTAGACGGTCCCAACAGTACCCCTTGTGCCCCAGCACCCTTAACGAGGGGCCGCCGAAGTTTCAAGGGTACCAGCATTTGCGTCCCCGGAGGAACGCGTACCGTTCTTTCCACGAGCGCCGGCACCGTCGCGAACGCCGTCCGAGTCGCAACCGGCGATGGCAGAAACGCCATGCGTCTGCCCGATGGAAGCTCTATGCACCCCTGGTCGATCAAAATTACAATCGGCATTTTGGCCAGGAAGTCCGTCCCCAGCAGGCACGGAACCGCCAGCGAGGAAGAAACAAAAATCGGCCCAGACAATTTTATTTCCCCGATACAAATTTGGGCACGAATTTGTCCGATGATGCCAAGTGAGCCCCCGTTAGCCGCATAGAATGGTATGTTAACTGGCATCAAGGGACGACTCCGGACGGGGAGAATATTATAAATTAATTCCGAAATAATAGTCGCCGATGCTCCCGTATCGACCAGGATGCGCACTTCAACCCCGTCGATATACCCCACAACGGCTGACGACCCCGACGATGCGGCAACCACACGATCGGCCAGCACGGACCACTGGCCGGGTTCGATATGGGTACCCGGAGTGGTGCGTGATGGTGCGATGGTGCGTGATACCGGCCCCCCTCTCGTCGCGGTGTTTGAGTGCGTGACGGGTGTGTGCGTGGGCCAAACGTGTGGGGTGCCGCGACTCGCCGGTTTTTGATGGTGGAGCTTGGGATGAGGCCCGTCGTCCCGGTGAGGTGTCGTCCCGCGCTGACGAGGAGAGCGGCACCCCGAGGCGACGTGGCCCCGGACGCCGCAGTTAAAGCACCGCGGGAGCGACGTCGGAGGTGACGAATGGTCGGAACGGCCCGACCCGTCCTGGCCCGGCCGTGCACTCGTCGCCTGTTGCCGTCGGTGGTCGACGGCGTAGAGTTCCTCCGTCGGAAGGGTGGCTGCAGCCACCGCACGCCCCGCCGATGCCCTGCTGGCTTTTCGCCGGAGCGACAGGAGGTTTGCGTGGAGGAGCCGCGCCGCCTGGAGCGATGTCATTTCCGCGTCCTCCTGTGCGACGACAGCGATGTCAAGATCGTCAGCCAGGAGGAGTATTTTCTCCGTCACCATAGCGTCGATGCCGTCGTCATCCATACGGGGGAAGGCCGACTTGGCCATCGCCAGGAGGCTCGTTCGGTACGCCAGGGGCGACTCCTTTTCTCCCCGCTTGCGGTCGTAGAACTCCTGTCTGCATTCCGCCGATGGTCCGTAGACCCCTCCCAGCAGCTGCAGCGCCATTGGTAACGTAAAGCGCCTTTCCTTCGGTGCCGATGTTAGGGCGGCAAGCGCGTCGCCGTCCAGGAGCGCCGGCAGGGCGCTGAGAGCTTCTGCGTCTGTCCATTTAGCCATTTCTTGGTGGGCGAGGAAGCGTCTTCGGAAGCCGCTCCAGTCGCCCTCTGCGCCCACGAATTCTTTAAGCGGGGGCAGCCTTTGATGCAGCGCAGCAGTTGCCGTGGAGTCCCGTGGGCTGCTGTCTCCCCGACCCGGCTGCGTCTCGGCGCGAACGGCAGATGGCATCGCCTGTCGCAGCTTTGATGACGCGCCCTCCTCCGTCGTTGATGCGGCAGCCCCAGCGCGGCCGATGTCGGACCCCAGGTTGAGGTTGGCCACGCCCCTAGCGGTCGCCGCGTCGATGGCGGGAAATTCAAAATTTGAATCTTCAGAAATGGCGGGAAGGCGCTCCGGACGCCGGTTCCCCTCGCCCCGCGGTGGACCACCAGCCCCCAGCCGTGTGATGTTCTCCAGCGTAGCGGCAGCGGCGTAGAGCAGTTCCGCCAGCCTCTCGTGAGCCAGCCTCAGGTGGTCTGTCCGCTGCTCCTCTTCATGGCGACGCTCCGGCAAGAACGCGTCCGGCCCCGGCTGCACGTCGTCTTGTTGAGCCATCTCGGGCTCGACAATTTCAGCGGCGTCTTCCGTTTGCTGTTCCCTGGCTCGAGCTGTTTGGCGCGTGTCCATGTTCTTGGTTCTGACGCCAGATGAAGTGTTCTTGAAGACGCGTGGACAACGGGGTAAGGCACACGTATTTATTTGCACAATGTCTTACAATACTGGAGGGATGTATCGGCCCCCTCACCCGTACAACTGGGAATTCACCCCTAGCTAGCCTTCCTAGCCGAGTCCTCCGCTAACGGGCTAGGGGAGGCTGTCTGGCCCGACACTGGTCAGTCGGGCTACGGTACCCGGAATCCCAGAGGTCTGACTCTGGTTCCGGGACCACGCCACTGGCTCCAGCCTGTACTGCCCTTACAAGGGCGGCGTCCCAGGGGGAGTCCAGGGCCTATCTGGCCGGTCTTCTCTCTTCCCTTAACTACACTAAGACTGAGCCCCGAGCTCCCTGGCTCAACCCTTTTTATACCCCCCTAGAGGATCGAAACCCCCCTCACGCCGTCCAGTACGGACGTCGTTGCGGGCACCACCCCGTGTGCTCACGGAGTCCCCGCCCACTGTGTTTGTTATCCGTTAGCCCCTATGCAAACAGCCCTACACAAACAGCCCCTCTGTAACAGCCCTACACATGCATACAACAATCGTTACCGATAGGGAGCGAGGTGGCCGGTGGCTTAGAGGTCAGAGCGCTGAGCCGACACCGCTGACGTTCCTGGGTTCGAATCCGGGTTTCAAGGCGCTGCCTGTGATTAGATCGGGTCCTCAAGTACAGCGGAGTCAGCGGCGTCAGTCTCGGTCATCGGCGTCTGCACTTTTATTTGGCTAAATTCCAGGTCTGAGAATTTAAATATCGGCTGCGACCACTGCTACTCTTGAACGCAGAGCGAGCGGGGAGAGCGCCGCAGCCCACTGCGTGTGGACCGGAGGTCACTTCGAGAAGGTGTCTTAGCGGTAGTTCTGCGATATCCTCTTCCCTGGGGTTTGTTCTCCGACACGGCGGGTCAATGGCGAAATGCTTTCGCATGCAATGGAGGACAACAAAAAGTGAAACCACCGAATGGTTGTTGCCGCTACCACCACTTCTCTCACGGAAATTGAACGAGGGGCCGTGCGCAGTAAATGAACACCGCCGGGAGCGTTCAGCGCCTCCTCCCCTCTCGCCACCGAGTTTCAAATCGCACCTCTCGCACACCACGCGTCCGAACCCAACGCGGCACCACCCCCTCCTCACCTCTGCCCTGCTCTCGCAGCGATAATTATAGCCCCACGCTCGCCCTACCCCTCTTCTCCGTCTCCCCGTCGCCAGCCAAAATCGCAGTGGCCACGATGTCCCCACGTTCAATTTTCATAATTGGCAGGAAATTGATTTCAAGCGGTCGTTGTCTGCGAGCCACAGCAGAGGAAAGTTTCACGCAAGATTGGCAAAACGCGAGTGGATTCTTGAATCCATTCTGTGCGGAGTTTTGAGTTTGCATGGCGGGAGTTTTATGGAAACCTTGGTTCAGAATCAGTCGTGGAATTTGCCCAACACTTCCATAACAATGAACCATGACGCATAAAGGACACGGCTGTTAAACGGCAAAGTCAAAGATTCCCTGCTGCTCAAATAATAATTTAAACGGTGCTCATCTCCTGTTCACGGCCCTGCAATCAGTGGTGGAAATTCCATTTCTTTGGCAGGGGAAAGCCCATCTACAGGAAACTACCGTTAACTTCCCACCCACACACAAAATAGTACTCGTTTTATCGACCCCGCAGAAATTATGGGCCGAGTCAACTCTCCTAACCAGGTTTTGAAGTCGCAACCTTCTGATGCGCGCCGATCGCTCCCGCGAGGAGCCACCAGGGTCGGATCGCGAAAGGAAACCAAGAGCCTGGCAGCTCGCTTGTCACAAAAACTCACTTCAGTCGTACGCCACATGGTGCAACGTGGTGCCGGTTGCAATGGATAAGACAACAGAATCTTCCGTCACATCTTGAAAAGGCTAAAGTGAACTTTATTACACCGTTAAATATAAAAACAAAAAAACACATTGGCAATAAAACAATAACACAGTGTCCTGCAAGAGGCTCTGCCGAGCCAAGGGAGGACCGAGAAGTGTAACAGTGGAAGTGTGCATCGCAAAAGAGAAGGAACGGGGCAAGCGCGGCGGATGGGATGAAGGGTTTAGCAGCTGCCCCGACCGGGAGCCATTGCCCCCCCCCCCACCCCGGGTCGACGGCAATAACAATCCTAGCAATCGTCACGTGACCACAGAACCAGCACGTGACCAAGCAACGGCAATAGTCACGTGACCACCCAAGCGTGGTGGTGAGAGCGTGCTCCCATTCCTATGCCGCGACGTTTCCGCAGAGGGGAAACGGCAGTGAGTGGGAAGGTTGCGGGGGCGAGACTGCGCATGGGTGACTGTGCGTGCGAATCTGAGGGGAGTGTGTGAGGCTGCATGTGTGAATCTGTGTGAGGGTGTATGCGAGGGTGCGTGTGAGAGCGTGCGTGTAACGGAGTGTGCGTGCGAGCGAGTGTGCGAGTGTCTGCGTGAGAGCGAGCGTGTGAGTGTGCGCATGCGAGTCGGTGAACATAAGCTGCTGGATGAACAGCTTCCATACCCAGCAATTCTGCCGTGACACTGACCACCGAATGGAACCAGAACGTCGTAAAAACCCCGTCGGGAATTGTTCTGCCGAGAGAAGAGACTCCCAACGCCGCGGCTCCCTCCACGCTCCACTCTGGGCGATCGCCAAGTGGCACAAACGTGACGTCTATGTGGCAAAATGGCGCCGCGGACGCGTGTCACACCCCACCTGAGACGGCTAGACGCGCAGCAGTCGCGGACACGACCCGAAGGCTGCTCGGCGTGGCGACACCAAAAGTTGCCTGCGAGGAGGGAACCCGGTTGGAAGCGGCGCCCCAGGTTCAGTAAAACAAAATTACTTTAATAAAAATGAGTCTAAGACTTTTGTGCGCGACTCAGAAATCAGGAACCACGCACAAAACGCAATAAAAATGTGAACCAAATAAAAAAGAAATGTTAATAGTCACGCGTGCGTCTTGGCCACCGAAGTCAGAACGCAGGCCGAGGGGGCCCCTGTAACAGCAGCGCACGACAGTGGATTTGTCCGTCGCGTTGTTTCGCCAGCTGCCACGATCTCTCTCTGTGGGAATCGGTAGCGTGTTTATAGTTTCGTGAATTGGTCGATCGTCAATGCGGCTCGGCTCAAGTTCCGCCACTGCGGGTGGCACCGCGAAGCCAACCTGTGAGGGGGAGGCAGCGTGGATACCGTCATGGAGGTGATCTCCTCGCCAGTGATGGAGTGATGAAGTAGAGTCCGCTATCCGTTAATCAAACGAATGACAGAGACGGTCTGGGCAGTGCAGTGCATTGGTTTACAAAAACCCTGATGAGACATTGAATGTTGAAAACGGTGCAGATTATTTAGATTACTTTGCCGCTATAAATTTCCGGATTGATAAGCCACTTGGTTGAGCTATCATTTGTGGCCAGGTCACTTCTGAATAATAGGCTAATAGCTCAGTGGACTTTGCCTGGTAAAATAAAACTAGTTTAGTTGTATTTGTATATTTATTTAAGCGATTTGTTTACCTTTCCTATTCTTTTCACTATTGGTGTTTTTGTATCATTTGTTATTTTAACTTTCTGCCATCTGTGCAAAAGAGCTTTATAGCTCATTGGATTCCTTCAGTATAAATAAATATTCTGATTCTGATACACACAACCAGAAGGAATACCTCGTAGCTGATGGGATGTGTGAAAGCATTTGTATTGCTTGTGGAGAGAGCCGGATACGGGAAGGAGGCGAATTGTCCGGCGATTTATTATTGTTCCTCACGTTCTCCGTGATGATGCGGAAAGATCGTTTTGTATTACACACGGGACGGCCCGGGCACGGACAAACTCGTGATGGGAGGGTGGCTCTGGTAGAGAGAGTGGACGCGACACACCGACAACATCAGCTTCAGAGGGGTTCCCGTCATCTCCTGGACAAGGCCGGTGAAAGCACATCAACTCAGGAAGAACGGAACCAGCGACGGCTCCCGTGTCTCTCTCTGGCGTCTCTTCCCGACGCCTGCTGGTGTGAGACAGCCAGACGCCCAGGTTGAGTATTTCCCACGGTGCCGACGGACGCAAACTGGTGGGAGTTGGGAGGGCACAGGGCCCACTACAAATGGTGCTTTTTCTGGAAGATTTTATTGTTTTTCTAGCGGATGTTTCAATTTGCATACAGTAAATTTTAAATGTATCTTGTAATTTTATTGTTTGTTGCAGTTGCACCCGAGTCAAGAGCCAAATGGCTCACAGAGTTATTCCAAATAAATGAAACTGAACCACGTCAAGGCAAGAAGCGACCATGGATTTTCTCCACACTTATCCCGAACTCTTCCTCTGTCTTCTGCGGCGACTTTTCTCGAGACGTCGCTCGTCAAAACGAAGCGCTCTGACTCTTCGCGGCACTTTGCGCTCGGTCGGTTCGCGCTTGAAAAACGCACTGCGTCAGTTCAAGCTCCTGGGAGGGACGACTGCCGTGACCGCAATGGACGCAAAGGCGGCAGAGTGGCGGGTTCCGTAGCACGACACAACCGCCGCGCCTAGCAGCGGTTTCCCCCGCAAGGCGGCCGCCACCGTCGTCACTGCCGCCAAGTCTCTCGCAAACGCACGGCGACATGCCGCGAGTCCTGGAACCAGCCAGACATGGATGGGGGAGGGGCGTCTCGCCGCGTTGCCCAGGCCACTCTCGCAAACGAGTCTCTCGAGATCTCACCCGGCCAGTCGACGGAGAAGGCCGCGCGGAATTCAGTCGAATAAGAAGTTTTTTAGTTTTCTTTGTTCGACGCAAAGACGTGGAGGAGGTCGAGTCGAGCGGCGAGGGCGAGTGGCGAGGGTGAGCGGTGAGCGCCGAGGGCGAAGGCGTGTGGCGAGGCTACAGCTCGGAGTTGAGGCGTAGAAGCTTGGGACACACCGGCAGGAAGACGTGCTGCACGCGGTCCACATCGCAGCGGCACAAGGGGCAGGCCTGCGGGCAAGACAAAGATCCCCTGTGTAGACTCAGCAGACCGATGGGCAAGTGCTGTTAGCGTGCACCCGGTGCTTGTGTGGGCTAGCTTGCACTCCTGACTCAAGGGTCAGAGGTCAAAGCGCTGCATTGAGTCGGTGCTCATCTCTCGTCTATATCATTGGGCCAGTGGTGGAAATTCCACGTTCCTACAGCGGGAGTGATATCTATCCATAGGACAACTGTCGACTTCCTCGCAAAACGGTGCCAATTTTAGCGATCGCCCAGGGAGGGACGACGGGGCTGCAGTCTGCCCCACGACTCACACGGCCGCAGCTCAACTGGCCGACAGGGCTCTACGGGCTCACAATTGGAGGTCGCGAGTTCAAGCGGCCCATCATCACTCCATCGCGGGGTTCATACAAACGAGCGCCACTTGGCGGGGAAGTCGACGGGGAGGCTGCGCGCTCAATAGAATTCGTCCCCTGCCACAGGAATATGGAATGTCCGCCACTGACTCCGCAGGGCTGCGAACGGGAGATGGATCGCCGATGCCTCGGTGCTCATTTGAGGCATGGGACATTCCCCTCCGACCGTGACGAACGGAAAGGGGGTGGGGGGCGAGAGGCACTGACCCGGAGGCGCGCGGCACAGCCGCGACAGCACACCATGTGGCCGCAGGGGCAGAACGCAGCATCGATGTCCCCGTGGCAGCACGCGCTGCACAGCATCGCCTCCTGCAGCGCACGCAGCTGCTCCTCCAGCTGCACGCACGCACACAAACACGCATGCACACGCACGGGACCACACACGGCGCAAAGGTTACCCAGGTAGTGCTGCACTGTCGGGGTCGGTGGGTGTCGGCGAGCGCCGACTTTCATCCAAAATAGTTTTGCTCGGCCGGTCTTGCCGTGCCGGTGTTTTTGCCATGCGGCTGTCGTTACCATGTGCGGGCGTTGCCATGTGGGTGTGGCCACCGAAGCAATCTCCCACCTGCCGGATGTCGCAGCGGCGCTGGGCGGGCGTGGGGGGCGCAGACAGAGACTCCAGGGGGGAGGGACACGGCTCGCAGGTGCCGGTGTCCTCCACGGTTTTGGCCCCCGGGGAGCACCCTCTCGGTGTGCCCCTCCCCGGTGCGACCCCCCCCGCCGGCCCGGGTGTCCCCTCGTCGCCCACCACGGCAGTGTGGTAGAGCTGGCGCCGGCAATGGTCGTACACCTCCTGGTGACGGTGGTGGGGATCACACGCCGTATTACTACCATCACCACCACCATTATTTTCACCACGATCATCATTATCATCGCAATCACCACCTTCATCATCATCATCACCATGATCACCGCCATCTGAGTGCAGTCCAAAGCGTCAAATGGCCAGCAACACAAAGCACTATCAGAGTTGCAATTGATAAGAGTAGATAACTAATTTCTTGAGGGAAACAAGAGACGATGGAAAGGAATTCCAGAGGTGAGCAGTGTGAGGGAAGATGTACAAAGAGAAGTGGAGTGACCTGCAGCATAGTGAGCAAGTGGGTGAGTGTGTGAACGAGTGGGTATGTAGATGAATGGATGAGTGATTGAGTGGGTGAGTGGTTGAGTGGGCGAGTGTGTGAGCGAGCGGGTGATTGTATATTAATGGGTGGGTAAGTGATTGAGTGGGTGAATGATTGAATGGGTGAGTAAGAATATGAGCGAGAGGGTGGGTATGTGGATGGGTCGGTGCGTGAGCGATTGAGTGAGCGAGCCGATTAATGAGCGAGTTGCGACCTGCAGTATGGCAGTTAAGCACAGATATGTTTTAATCAGACACGATTCGTGAATCACAACCCCTCCCACCCCTCCCCTACCCGCCCCTCCACCCCCCGCAGGGAAAGCAGCCACACCTTGCAGGTTCGCCGGATGTCGAACACGAATCTCTTGCCAAGGTCGATGTCTTCGCTGAGGAGCAGCGAGGCCAGGTGGCCCTTGAAGTCGCGGCTGTACTGCGCTGTGACCGCGTCGTTCACCGTGTCGCACCTGGGGCCGCACACCACGCCGCGGTCACCTCGCGCGTAACCGCATGGCCAGAGACGCGGCCCTGCAACCACTTGCTTTGTTTTAGCCTTGCACGCTGCCCGGATGTCTTGGCAGAGGTGGAAGTACCCACGCTTTACCCCACCACACACGACATACCGACCAACTAACTGCAGTGAACCCATTTACACTCCTTGTTTGGGGGAGATTTGAGAAACGTTCCACGTTTCCACTGCCGAGCCAGAAGATGGTAGTCGAACCGGCAACCTCCGGATCACAAGTCCAGACGACTGGCAGATGCACTACCCGTGCTGCCTACTGTGCCAGCCGGTACACACGCACACACGCACACCTTGCACTTACACACAACGGGCGTCATTCATCACAAAGTGATGGTGAAGTCACCAGTGCTTGTGCTAGGCTAGGTCCACTTTGTCACAAACACAATGGCACTCGCACATCACGCTCACATCTCCCACACACGACACGCACGGGCGTCGCACTCACCGGTAGAAGGCGTGGGCCTCGGTGACGGCCCGGTACAGCCCGTTTGCCGCGTGGCTGCTCACGAGCCGGAACCTCGTCTCCTCTGGCTCGGCACCGTCGCCCAGCACCGAGAACACGACGCGCTTATTGGACTGCGTGGCTGCGTGGATTGTGGGGAACGGAATTCTGCACTGCGGAGAGGCAACCCAGAGTCGCACCGCAGAGTCACAATGCAAAGTGGCACCAGACATGTCTGAAGGTGGCATATCCACACTTTACCCCAGACATTTCTAGATTTGTGCGAATTTTTGACTGGGTGTGGTTCGTAAAAATGCATGCAGTGTGAGTTATGGATGCTAACGTGTGCGTACGCTCGTGTACGCTCGTGTACATGCGTGTGTACATGCGTGTGTACATGCGTGTGTGCGGAGAGCGGTAGCGTTGCGGTGCGGAAACATCGCCAGTTGGAAGACAAAGGCGGTCGGGCATGGTATTGGCCACCCACCCCATCGTGTGCCGTGCCGGCCTGCATTAGGTGCTCGCTCACAGCACGGCGGATCTTTGCGTGTGCATTCGTGCGATTACGTGTTTGACACCGGAGCGAGAAAAATGCCCCCTCCATCTCGAAAGATTTTCCAGCCAAATTATTCGAACCAGGTCAAAACCAACCGGCGTCATCAACGGGTGCCGCGCTGACGATTTTCACCGGGGTCGCTCACCGTCGCAGGGGGATGCGGGTCGCACCGTCGCTGCACAGCGCCACGCCGGCGTCGCACACCGCCACACCGTCGCAGCCCACGCCCAGCAAGCGACGTTGCCCGGCGTCGTCCCACGCAGAGTGCCACTCCACGCCGAACCCCGGCAGGGCGGCCGCTTCCTGCAGAGCGCGGTATTCTGCCGTGGCACGCGAGCACCCGACAAGGGCGCGGTGCGACTCGGACACGCTGCGGGAGAGCGGAGACAGGAAGAGAGAGGGACGCCGAGCGGTGAGCGCCCGGCCAAACCGTCGCGCGAGGGAGGAGAGGGAAGGTTTGGCAAGCTGCGCCGCAGACCGTCGAGCACCCTGTGTCTCACCTGGCAGGATCGGCGCCGCCCAGGCGGTCGTAGACCGCGGCGGCGTTGTCGTTATTACTGCCGCCGTGCGGGGCGCGGTAGTCGCCCAATTCGGCTTGCATAATTAACGCCGCCAGCTTCACGGCGCTATCGTCGCGGCACACCAGCCGGCCTAGCCGCAGCTCCTCTCGCACGTGCAGGTAGAACTGGTGCCTGCGCCGGCGTGGCAGGGAGGAGCGGGGGAGAGGTGGAGAGAGGTCAGAGCGATCGTCGCCAGCAACGGCCGCCGGTCAACATTTTTTACAGACCACGGGTGACCGTGGCAACTCAGCGGGCAACGGAGTGGGGCTAGGGCCGGTGTTAGTCGGCAGCTGACATTAATCTGCTCAAAAAGCTTACAGGCTTATCATGGCCATCACACCGCATGCGATATACGTACGCCGATAAATAATTTGGACGTACATACAGTGAGGGAAAAAAGTATTTGATCCCCTGCTGATTTTGTACGTTTGCCCACTGACAAAGAAATTATCAGTCTATAATTTTAATGGTATGTTTATTTGAACAGTGAGAGACAGAATAACAACAAAATCCAGAAAAATACATGTCAAAAATGTTATAAATGGATTTGCATTTTAATGAGGGAAATAAGTATTTGACCCCTCTGCAAAACATGACTTAGTACTTGGTGGCAAAACCCTTGTTGGCAATCACAGAGGTCAGACGTTTCTTGTAGTTGGCCACCAGGTTTGCACACATCTCAGGAGGGATTTTGTCCCACTCCTCTTTGCAGATCTTCTCCAAGTCATTAAGGTTTTGAGGCTGACGTTTGGCAACTCGAACCTTCAGCTCCCTCCACATAGTTTCTATGGGATTAAGGTCTGGAGACTGGCTAGGCCGCTCCAGGACCTTAATGTGCTTCTTCTTGAGCCACTCCTTTGTTGCCTTGGCCGTGTGTTTTGGGTCATTGTCATGCTGGAATACCCATCCACGACCCATTTTCAATGCCCTGGCTGAGGGAAGGAGGTTCTCACCCAAGATTTGACGGTACATGCCCCGTCCATCGTCCCTTTGTCTTGCCCCCTTAGCAGAAAAACACCCTCAAAGCATAATGTTTCCACCTCCATGTTTGACGGTGGGGATGGTGTTCTAGGGGTCATAGGCAGCATTCCTCCTCCTCCAAACACGGCGAGTTGAGTTGATGCCAAAGAGCTCCATTTTGCTCTCATCTTACCACAACACTTTCACCCAGTTTGTCCTCTGAATCATGTTCATTGGCAAACTTCAGACGGGCATGTATATGTGCTTTCTTGAGCAGGGGGACCTTGCGAGCGCTGCAGGATTTCAGTCCTTCACGGCGTAGTGTGTTACCAACTGTTTTATTGGTTACTATGGTCCCGGCTGCCTTGAGATCATTGACAAGATCCTCCCGTGTAGTTCTGGGCTGATTCCTCACCGTTCTCATGATCATTGCAACTCCACGAGGTGAGATCTTGCATGGAACCCCAGGCCGAAGGAGATTGACAGTTCTTTTGTGTTTCTTCCATTTGCGAATAATCGCACCAACTGTTGTCACCTTCTCACCAAGCTGATTGGCGATGGTCTTGTAGCCCATTCCAGCCTTGTACAGGTCTACAATCTTGTCCCTGACATCCTTGGAGAGCTCTTTGGTCTTGGCCATTGATTGATTGATTCTGCGAACAGGTGTCTTTTATACAGGTAACAAGCTGAGATTAGGAGCACTCCCTTTTAGAGTGTGCTCCTAATCTCAGCTCGTTACCTGTATAAAAGACACCTGGGAGCCTGAAATATTTCTGATTGAGAGGGGGTCAAATAATCTCAGCTCGTTACCTGTATAAAAGACACCTGGGAGCCTGAAATCTTTCTGATTGAGAGGGGGTCAAATACTTATTTCCCTCATTAAAATGCAAATCAATTTATAACATTTTTGACATGCGTTTCTCTGGATTTTGTTGTTGTTATTCTGTCTCACTGTTCAAATAAACCTACCATTAAAATTATAGACTGATAATTTCTTTGTCAGTGGGCAAACGTTCAAAATCAGCAGGGGATCAAATACTTTTTTCCCTCACTGTACATACAATCATATCACCTGATCACACCATCATACCATCTCATCACACCACACAACAGTCAAGCAAGTAGAATTCATAACAACTGCATAATAGCTGATATTGAAAACAGTGCTTACAACCTGACAATAATATTAAACAAAATACATTTCCTGTGACCAAACTTGGCTTGGTGAAATTATTACAGAACCATCACGTCCGCCTTCATGCATCCCAGTCTCCGACTGCTCCAGTTTCACCGAACCCCATGCCGGTTTCGACTTTTCCTGGGGCTTCTTCCGTCCATGGTGAGGGAGGCTCGAGTCCACGAGGCTCGGGGCCGCTCATTGTAAATAAACTCGGCTGCCACCGTGGCGGTGTCACGGTGCGCACGCCGGACAGCCAATCCAGGAGGTCGCCAGTTCGATTCCATCTCCCGGTGCGGCAGTTAAAAAACAGTGGTGCCGGGAACTTACATCCCCCCCCCCCTGCCTCAACGCCTCTGTCCACCCAGAAGAATCAAATCGGTTCTGCTTGACTGCTAAAACGCACGCAAACCCAGTCAAAACTGGTGAGCGATTTGCCACACAAGACAGAACCGGCTCCAGCAATGGACGAGACGTCTCTCTAGCTGAGAGATGCGGGCAGCTGCCCCAGCAGTGGTGTCATGGGCAGCAGTGCATCGGTTCACCGGTTCCATAGCCGGTACGGCAGCCGATACAATGGTGTGCATTATGCACTCCTAGAAATGCCGTGTGTGGCTCACGGGATGTGTTAAAAAATATAACTTTCATTTTCCATGCGGAGGGACCGACGATATGGGAAGGAGGCGAATCCTCCTCCCCATCTACGAAGTTGTTTGTGAACACTCCGCGTAGCGTGTTCAAGCCCGCGCGCACGGCGGTCCGTGCAATGCGCATTCGCCCTCGTTCCTCCCGCGTTCGCCCTCCGGCTACGGAAGTGGCGCCCCCGTGAGACGTGCATAACAGCGTGCATCCACGCTCGAACAAACGCCAAGCGGAGCTCGCGAACAACTGCCAACAACACCCCCGCCCGGCTCCAACAAGACCGTGCGTGTGCCGCGCGTGTCGTATGTGTGCATGTCGTGTGTGTGCGTGCCGTGTTTGTGCCGCGTGGCGCTGGGGCTAACAAACAAGGAAAGACAAAGACGGTGAGGACAAAGGGAGCTCGGCTCTTTGGTGGGGGCAGGTGAGCGGTTGTTTGTAAAATGCCACAGGGGGTAAGAGGCGGGAGAGGCGCACACACGCGCGCACAAATACAAGACAAAGACCTCTCCGCATAGCCTATTAGCAGACTGTTGGGGCAAAGTGCTGTTTGCGAGCACCTATGAAGGCCGGAACGATACACAAAGGCGTGGGTAGCCAGCACCACGCCCGACCGCCTTTGTCTCCCCAGTGGTGATGCTTATTCACCCCACCAGACACACACACATGGCTGTCGGGGTGGAACACAACCACGTGTTTATATTCCCACGTGTTTATATTCACGCGTGTGTCCACGTGTGTGTGTCTGTGCGTGTCGTGTGGTTGTGTGTGTGTTCAGGCGTGTCTTTGTCTGCCTCAATGGCCCGTGATCACAAATCGCTCTTTAATTCCATCAAAAAAGTAACCTGCAGCACCACACCTATTACCATCATTAACGGAAAGAACGAACGGTGATCCAATCTCCAACCCCCAGGAACAGGTTTGCAGATTTGCTGAGCATTTCTGAGGTTCTGGGGGAGTGGAAATCCCTCAGCCTGGAAAACATCGTGGCACAAAGTTGGGATGACCCTGGTGAGGTTGCGATGCCTCAAATACTGTAAGAGGAAGTCACCCCCTGTGAGTGGCTGGCTGAGGTGCCATTTGTTGAGGAAGTACTGAAGGCGATCCAGAGCCTGAGACCAGGAAAGAAACCGGGCAGAGATGATCTCCCAAGCAAAATGCTGAGGGAGGGTGGCGTTTGTGCACAAACTGCCCTACATGACATCATAACAACAGTCTGAACCACTGGACGGGTTCCGCAGAATTGGAAGGATGCCCTGATGGTCCCCCTCTTTAAGAAGGGGGACCGCACAGACTAACAACTACAGGGCCATCTCACTCCTCAGTGTGCCAGGAAAGGTCCTGGCAAAGATTATTCAACATCGCCTTGCCAGGCAGGCTGAGGAGAGGCTTGCGGAGCCCCAATGTGGTTTCAGGAAAGGGCGGTCCTGCACAGATGCCATATTTTCTGTCCGTCTGTTACAGCAGCGGTGTCGGGAATTCCAACAAGACCTACATCTTTGCTTTATTGACCTGGTCAAGGCCTATGATACCATCAGTAGGCCTGGGCTCTGGGTTGCTCTTCGTGCTTTCGGAGTCCCTGACCCACTGCTCACGATCATTAAGGATCTTCATGATGGTGAGAGGGCCTGGATAAAACTATGTGGTTGGGAGTCGGAGCCATTCCCTGTTCACTTTGGGGTGCTACAGCGATGTCCTCTGGCTCCCACATTATTTAACATTTTTTTCGACCACGTAGTTCGTGAAGCCTTCAATAGCCGTACAGGAGGAATTTCCATCTGGTACAGATACAATGGGAGGCTGATCGATGCCCGGGTGCGGTCAAGGGATGCTGATGATCTGGTAATTGCTGCTCACTCTGAGGAGGAGTTGAAGGCGCTGCTGCTGACCCTAGAGCTTGCCACTAAGAGGTGGGGCCTTACCATCAGCTCCACCAAAGCTAAGCACCTGCCTGGGTATTTTGTACCATCGGACACTCCACCCCCACAACTCCCAATTGGTGATAGGGCAGTTGTGGAGAGCGTGGAGAGTTTCCCATACCTGGGCAGTCTGCTCATGACCGGCTCCGGTTTGACAGCAGAGGTCTCACTCCGAATCAGTAGAACGGTAATATCTTTTCATCGGCAGGCAAGGCTGCGGTTGGCAGGGTCATGTAGCCCGCATGCCCAGCCATCGCATGCCTAAACAGCTTCCGTTCAGGCCCGATCGAGGGGGCTAGAGAAGAGATGGAGTGATGTGGTACAGGAGGATGTGGAGCTGCGTGGACTTGCCGATGACTGGTACCAGCGGTGTCAAGATCGGCCTCTGTGGAGGAGACTCGTGAAGGACGCTACCGGGCAGTTGGAGGCAGTCGCCC